TCACTCATCACATCATTCACATCATGGGTTGGGTGGGTACAGTAAGCTCATTAATGGACTGAGAGCGGCTGCCAGTGGCGCCTTTGTATGCTGACGTCCGAGCTTACTGTTCACATGTTAAAATGTATTGTAAGAGTTAGGGCACGTCTGTTGTCCTCTCATCTACGACTCAGTCTTCTCTTCACTTTCTCTTTCTGTTGTTTTTAGCTGGAAATAAACATCGACCCACAGAAAGGTTGGGAAACAGAAAATTTGTTTGTTCCTCCTGGTTTTCACATTGACAGTAAAATTGAAGGAGAAGGTGAAAAACCAAAAGGAGAGACTGGAGAACAGCCTTTCATCTATCCTATGGGAGTAGGTGGACTAATAATGAATGGATGTTTTGCCACAAACTATCAGAAAGGAGATCCTTGTTATGAAGCCAAGTGGAAGACCACAATTTGCCTGGTAAACGAAATTTTTTAGTATTTAATTTATAGTTTTTGACTTTTACACAACATCACTTTGGATATTCCAAGTCGACCGGGGTGAAAGAATTTGAAGAACTTAATCTATTATGTATCTATTTTTAAAGTTTACAACGAAACTATTTGACTCTTAAATTAAGTGCTCATGCCCTAAAAAGTTTTATTTCTTTAATTGAAAATACACTTTGTTACCAGAGGTTCTACAAAAAATGTTAAATTTGTACATAACATTATTTTTTTAGAATGTCCTTTAACTGTTTAAATTTACCGGCATTTTGGCATATTTATAGTCGTCTTAGTCTTTTCGCGGAAAACCCTTAGAAACAAGGGCAATTAAGACGTAGATGAAGGAAGTTATTCCGTAAATTGAGGAACACCTGACTTTGGTTGCAAGTAAACAGGTGTGGGGTTCTAGAAATATTGCTTCTATTTCACAAATTTTAACAGCTGTAAAAAAGTAAAACAAGCCAGTAAGATACGCTGTAGTTAGATTCTGAACAACACTGGCGACCATAAGAAAGGGATTAAAACACACATAAAATCCCGTTACTTTTAGTTCCTGAATGTCTCAAAAAGTCCCATATAAGACTGTCAATTTCATGATCAGCATAACGGGTGTGCCAAAAAAAATTAAGAAAAATTTCTAAAAAACATTTCGTTTCATTCAAGACCCATAATTTTTTTGAAAAAGTTCTTGTAGTAATGTGTTCTTTCAGAATGAAAATCAGGTTATACGCATTATAAGCATGAGTACGCTAGTTTTGAAATTTGTTCATAAGATGCAATAATAAATTACCTATAACATCTTTTTTTAATATTGATCCCCTTGATCGTGATCCCCTTGTTAATCAGTTTCCCACTCGACCGCTGATAAGAGGACACTGTAAATCCACGTAAAAAAATTCCAAGGGCAAACAATTTTAAAAATAACGCAAAAAAACCTCTTCTGTAATCACCATGAGAACGATTCTCAATACTACAAAACTGCCATAACTATCAAACGATGGCTGAGATTTCAACGTGAAAAAGTTGGGCCAACTTTTTCAAGTTGGTTTTCACCAGAAGCTCGCGCATGCGCCTGGGCTGAATGGCCCGTTTAATTCTTTACTGTTTTGTTAGAATCAAATTGATGGTGCCAATTTTATTGGTGTTGGGTTTGATGCTCGCGGCGACAGCAGTCCAGAATCAAGAAAGATGAGCGTCATACAAAGAGACTGCTCTGGAA